AAGAAGACTTCTTCAGGACAAAACTACTTCAAGAAATCATGACAAAAAGAAGCCGGACCGAGCTATATCCGAGTTCTTTTTGATAAAGAACCTGGGCACACGCTCGGGAACATTTCAACGAAGGATCAGAGCGATTTCAAGACAAGACCTTCCAGTTCCTTGTTCCAAATAGCAAGAGGCTCGGAGGCTACACCCAAAGGGGAATACTTTTTTCTTCATGCGAAGATCTCACAGAGCGCCACACGGTTTCGCTCAAGAAAGCACTCGGACGACGCTTATTCCTGCTCGGCAAAGCCTGAAAGAACAAGACGAGGCTTCGAGAGCTCAACCATGAAGTGCTCGGGGGCTTGTCGGTGCGGGACCCATAGGATACCCCGCAGGGAGGAGAGAAGATCTAGTCTAACTAGGATTCTCCCCATGTAATCTTAGTAGTAGTATTATCCTGTAATCCTACTAAGAACTCTCATTGTAAACCGACTAGGATTCTAACCTCCTGACTATATAAAGGAGGGCGGGGTTCCTAGAGACAAGAGATCACGATTTTCTACAACACAATCAATACAACGCAAGGGCTAACGCCGGCTGGACGTAGGGCTATTACTCGATCAACGATCGAGGGCCCGAACCAGGATAAATCGACCGTCTCTTGCGTTCACTGTCGAGTTCCGTATACGCTGAAGCCCGAACAATACTGCCCCGAGGACCCCCGTGGCAGGCTATCGGTGGTAAAACATCGACACCTGAGTCCCTGATTCGGCTAACATGCACGGCACGTCCAAACGCAGCCACCAATTTGACTCATGTAGGCACTAAAAGCTAGATGCTAGATAAAAGATCATGTGCCACAACTGGATAGGAAACTAATGCATGAAAATAATAAAACACTACGGCAAGGATGCTAATCGCGTTGGGAAAATTCCATTGATGATCTCCATCTCTTTAGAATTAGTATTGATGTATTTTGTTGGCTTTATTTTCTTCTCCTTTCCACGCAATAATAAGGCACCTCTATAAAATATCTTTAATGACAGTCTAACAGATGTAAATTTCTTCATGTCCACAATATATTTATCCTTAAAAATAATAGTCTCAAATTTAAGATCAAAGGATATTAACGAATTACCAGCTGCTACATTTAAATTATTGCTAGACAAATCTCCATAAACATCTTGAGGAGCTATGGACTCATCACCTACTCCACGGTGGCTGTTTATTTGACGTGCCATGTCCGATCTATTCGCTAAACGAAGGAATATGAATCTACGGTGAACCAGTTAAAAAGTTTAGGGACCCAAAAATGCAATTTGAAAGTTGATAGACTTGGATGACACACCATTAAAAGCTAATGGACCAAAAAATACAGTTTGAAAGTTGATGGACCTGGATGACACACTACCAAAAGTTAATAGACAAAAAATACAGTTTAAAAGTTGATGGACCTGGATGACACACCACCAAAAGTTAATAGACAAAAAATACAGTTTGAAAGTTGATCCATTGAAAATTAATAAATCTACGGTACATTTAACTCTTAAAGTTATGTATCTAGAAATGGTACTTCATCTAAACATATAAGGATTTTGAACGGAGGGATTTTCTTTTGGGCATATAGAGTAGTGAGTCGCATGTATGGGTGAAAACGGTACGGATATTTTCCGACCGTATTCGAGACCGAATCCGTTTAGAGGAGTTCTGATCTGTCTATATCTGAATCCGGATATTTAATATCCGATACCGCATCCGTATTCGAATACTCAAATCGCATATTTATGATGTCGATATCCAATCGTATCATATCCGGCATGGTTGACACTATCCGTATTTGAATCCGAATCCAGAAAAAAATATGAAAACAAATGTAATATCGGTGATATTCGTCCGTATCCGATCCGTTTTCATCCCTAGTCGCATGTTCCGAATGTTTTGTACACAGCCTCTCCGGTAACAGCAGTTTGGGAATTGGGACCGAACCCAAGGTAATAAATAGCAGACAACATGTCTGTAGCGAATTGATGTCTACGTAACAAATCGTGGATAGTGGACGCTAAGTTCTAATTGCATCTAATAATTATGCATAAATATATGCATGTGTATCATGAGAATGACTCTCACATTTGTAGCAACTAAAAATTAAATTATTGATGATTAGTGAATATAGAACTTCAAAAATAAGTAATTAAATAGATATTTAGTTGAATTCAAATAATTGATGTTTTGGTCCAACATAGCTTATATTAAGAAACAAACATGATTTTTTCTGTTGATTTAGTAACACGATGTTTCTTGTTGATTTAATGGCTGGTCATTAATTAGTTTTGTAAACAATGGGTCTACTCATCAGGGAATGGAGATAGGAAAGCGTGGCAGCAATAGGTTGAGATTTAGAATCAACTAGGATTTTATTAGTTATAGAGTTGATTTGGCCTGCTATGCAGGATCGTATGCGTTACAGGCCCCGTTCGCTTCGCTGAAAAAACAAGACGAAACACTGTTCCGGCTGATTTGTTGTGAGAGAAAAACACTGTTTCGGTTGAAAAAACAAGCTGAAAAAGACGGATTAAATAGTAGCCACTAAGTTGCAAAGTGCTATCTCTAGACCAATAGCTCTAATACTTAGGCTTTGTGTTAGATCCAGCGTGTAAAGTTTTGGATGTCACATCAGATGTTATATATGGGTGTCACATGGGGTGTTCGGATACTAATAAAAAAATAAATTACAGAATCCGTCAGTAAACCGCGACACGAATTTATTAAGCATAATTAATCAATCATTAGCACATGTGTTACTGTAGCACTTTATTATCAAATTATGGTCTAATTAGGCTTAAAAGATTCGTCTCGTAAATTATGCATGTATCAAACGTTCAATGTGACAGGATATAAAGTTTTAAGGTGAGAACTAAACAAGGGCTTAATACCTCGATGGGACCGCGGTAGAAATGCTAGAGTAGGAGTATGAATCTTCTGCCTCAATAATTCACACCGACAGTAAACTAATAATAGCTTCTCTTTTTTTTCTTTTACAACAGCCAATAATTGCTTTGTTTGACGGTTGATAGCAGTGTGCTTTTCTTGATGTTGACCAATACCCAGACACAGCTTTCCTGTCCCTACATTTCTGTCTCCAACGGTTGCTCCACCTTGCCGTCGGCTCGGCCCTGTTCGTTTCGCTAAAATTTGGCTCATATTGATTTGTTGTGAGAGGAAAATACTATTTTGTCTCCAACATGTTCTTTGTTTCAAATGTCAAACATCCTCACCGTGAAATTTGGTGCACAAGGCATCGAGGCTCAGCCTATGTATTCAGTACCTGTTTAATTTAGGTTGTGGTGCGGCTTGTTCCTCTATTCACCGAAATGGCGAGCAAAGTGTCACCATGAGGAAGGAATCAGATCAAATGCGGGGTGCCAATGAGGAAGGAATCAGATCATAAGCAAGGTGACTAAATTTACTTTTCAATTTCTCTCAGATTCTAAGACCAAACAGGACCTTAATTGACCATCCATAACCCTATTAAATAGCATGATAGAACTATTTCTCTTGTTTCAATAGGGTTAGAGAATGGAGATATTGCAAATTTGCAATAATTATACCTTGATATGGTTTACTGGACAAATGTTTTGTAAGGCCATTCTCCCGAGGCCACACGAAAAAGGGAGGGAAGTACGTAGTAATTTTGGCTGCTGTGTGCTATTCAGAAAAAAAAAACTCCATCTGATTCAAAGTAAATCAATTTTTAGAGTTGTCATAGGTCTATTTTTTTTAAGTTTAACCAAACTAATAGAAAAAAAACTATGACACCAAATTAGTATCACTAGATAGATACATCATGAAATTTATTTGGACAATATACTTATTAGGTATGATAGATGTTGTTACTCTTTTTTATAGAGTTTTTTTTACGAGCAACTCTTTTTTATAGAGTTGGTTAGACTTAAGATAGTTTATAACTTTAAATGATTCTAGGAATCAATTTATTTTGTGGCCGAGATAGTATTTGAAACATGGATCTTATATTCTCAAGTTTTTTACTGTGAGGAACACAATGGTGCCGAAAATATTCAGAAATGATCAACGGTTTGAGAGAAATTTGTATTTCATTTCAGAACGCGATTCCAAATTTTCCTCCCAAGTCCTAACGAGCAGTGGCCTACCGGTGCACAGTTGGAACCTGAACACCATGTTTTTTTGGGGCCATGTGTGTGCACATCTTTTTGGACTTCACAGAGCCCAAGCTGCAGGTGCAGGGACATTAAGTTGCAGGTCCCAGGATGTATAAATAAAGTATATATAATGAGATGATTAGGATTATGCTATTGATTTTAAATTAGTATATGTTAAATAAGTAAAGTTGGTGATATAATATTGAAATTAAGAAAGAGAAGGAAATGTTTTTGATAAAAAAAAATATGTTTACATGGGAATTAAGATATAAAAATGTGATAGGTAGATAATAGGAGAGAGAAGAAAATGGATTGACCAAGAAAATATTTTGTAAAAACTATCTATTATGAATATGAATATAGTTTCAATGTATAGTGTTTATATAACATCGAAGTATAAAAACTACTCTATAGTTTCTTGGTTAGAACTGCTCTTAGAATATTTCTGCTTTGGCAACTTACCAACGTGATAAGAGGGTCCAAGAACCCACAATACACAAGTACACATTGCAGTCGCTGCTGCTGAACTTGGGCTACAAACACAAGTCAGGGCATAGCAGCAGCGGAACAAACGAAATGACTCATGGTGAAATTGCATTGCAAGGTAGATTCTTGTATACATACGTAGCTACATACTGTACCACCAACCAAGAAATATATTGCACTCGAGTAGGTATTCTCTCAGAGCTCAAAAAAAACAAAAATCGCTCAACTGGACAAAGGACCAGTAATCAGATATAAAGAGGAGGGCTACAGGCGAATATATGCCCCCAATGGATCAGGTGACTAAATCACTGAAGAGCATGTACAGCAGCATCACAGGCCAGTGTGACCAGATCACCTCCCCGCCACAAGACCACTGAACACTTGGCTGTTCCCAGCCTGTGTCGCCTCCCACTCGATAGAAGACAGCAGTATTTGAGAGAGCGTGATCACCACCTGCTTCATGTCCGGCCGTAGAACAGGATCTTCGTCCACGCACTGTTTCGCTAGCATGGCCATCTTAGGAAAAGCATTTTAGGGGGTTCAGAACGACGAGCAAGGGTGCCACAAAATGGGCTGGAAAGATAACTAGGAAAATCCTAGTTCACTGCAAGAAGTACATGAGTTTAAAGTTCATACCTTGTACGCACAGTCATGAGGATACAGATCCCTTAGATTATGGTCAATGCAGTCTTTCAGGTTCCCCATATACATTGAATTAGGACATTTCCTTAGAGCAGTTAACATCTGTGCAGTACAAAACCAAAGTTGCTTAAGACTTTTGGAGTAAATAAAAACAAATAAATTAGAAACTTGAACAAAGTTCAACAGAAGTTCTATGCCACTTCAATGGTAAGATAATGGTAAATCCTAAGGTACAACATTAGAAAGTCAACTAACACTGAACTGAAAACTTACAACTGATGCCAGTGAGCGTCTCTCAGAGTTTGAGCTTGCACCCATTCCTTCAGCTCTTGTAATCGCCTCTTTTCCAGATATTAGCTCAAAAAGTACCACACCAAAAGCATAGACATCACTCTTTGTAGTTGCCAGGCCATCCCGCAGGTATCTAAAAGATCAATGAAAGATTGTTACAATGCCATAGTTAGAGAAAAAGTTTGCTTTTAATTAAAACAATCACAGCAAATATGCACTTACTCAGGGGCCAGATAACCAAAAGTTCCAACAACCTTAGTGACAGAAGCCTCTGCATCACTGGATTTCACTACAAGTTTTGCAAGGCCAAAATCTGAAATCTGTAAAGGCAGAAGATGCAATACACAAGGTATTAGTTATTTAGTTGATGCAAGAAAAAGGCAGACCCAGTGCCGGAGGCTCCCACATGAGTGGAGTCTAGGGAAGGGAAAAACCGAGGCAAGCCTTCCCCCCGCAAAATCTACGGAGAGGCTGCTTCGAACCCGCGACCTGGTGACTCAGTGAGATAGCTCTCACCACTACACCAGGCCTGCTCTTCAGTTGATGCAAGAAAAAGGGAACCAAATGATTTAAATCACCTAACCTTCGCTCTCAAGGAACCATCAAGCAAGATATTACTTGATTTAATGTCTCTATGAACATAATGATCTTTGGTGTGCTCATGAATGTATTCTAGTCCTCTAGCAGCATCAAGTGCAATTTGGACCCTAAAGATCCATGAAAGTGATGAACACCCTGGAAGAAATAATAAAAAAAATCAATCAACAATGCTAAATCCTGTGGAGGTAGCATAATTAGGTGTTCAAACAAATGGTAACATAGTACCAAGTGAGGCATAAAATATGAGTCCAGAACTACCGAGGACAAATAGAATTACGTGTACTTAGGTGATCCCTAGGCAGTACTTGGTGGTAGGTGATCCCTAGGCAGTACTTGGTGGTCCAAGGCTGCCCATAGCATAGCACATACACCCTCTGACCCAAAAAGAGTGTCATTCTTGCTATGAATCTAGAGTTCTTGACAAACATAGCTAGAAAGGCACTCTTTTTGGGATGGAGGGTGTAAACAGTAGTCCCATTCTTAAGACAATGTCTCTCTATGTGGCCCACTTTTTTCTTTTAACATGGCATTTCATTTAAGCAAGATGTAAATATTCACATAAAGCGTGCTCCCCAGTCCCCTCCTTGCCTCCTGGAGAACATTTCACTCCCTAGGTGGGCTAGGTGCTAGGTGGAAGTCTAATGCTCGCATAGAGCCTGGAGACTTTTGATTGAAACACTGGTAAGTGGTAACACAACGTTCTGGAACCAGTAAACGTGAAAGGTATCGACACAGGGGGTTCCACAGTCCTAACAAATGAACAGCTTATGAACATGTTACTACTTTATAAAGCTGAAAGTCATATCTAAGAGCAAGAAAATCTTTCAGAAATCAAGTGTCAGATGAGGTACCCTTGCTTTCAGGGTCATGTAGATGATTCTTGAGCAAACCATTTTGAGAGTACTCATAAACCAGGAAAAGCTCATCCTTACTTGCTGCATAGCCAATCAATTCTACCTTTGACAAAACATGGGTCACACAATGAAAGTTCAGTAAACATGTAACAGCAATAAATGAATTTATACTAGGATTTTGTGATAAGCAATAAAACACCGTACCAGACTAGCATGATGAACCTTACAAAGAACTTTCATCTCCACTATGAATTCTTTTGTTTTAGTGGCCATCATTCTCTTTATCGCAACCTCCTGTAGACAACATTTTTTACTATTGAGAAGGCAATGACAAGGAATATTATGCATACAAGTGGGCAGCTTCGATGTTGGACCTGGTCTCGGAGAACACCATAATAGACAGAACCATATGTACCATGACCAAGAAGATTTGCATCAGAAAATGAGTCAGTTGATGTGAGTATTTCTTCGTACGTAAACACAATAGGCTTCTCCCTATCAAATACATCTGCTGCCATGCCTGTTTTGGAGGCTTGAATCAGTTATAAGAAGCAAAACAAAAATAACAGTAGCTAATTTGTGCTGGTATTAATTTAATACTAAGTGTGAATTTGTTGCCCTGTATCTCAATTGAAATTTCCACTGTATCCTATTTCAAGAAACTACTTGGTCCACCTCCAGAACAAGCGTAGGCTTGAGAGCAGTTACTTGTGCTCCTTTTTATGGGACTGGTTAACAAACAGTAAACTGACCTTTGGGGACATTGATATGATGATCACCACCATCCGCTCTTGTTGGCTTTGCATTTCCAAATTGGCAACACAAGTATCTTCCAGAACCATAACAGAAACTACCACTCTTAAGAAGTTGAAACTTATGTCGGTCTGGGCTCTTTCCCTGGTTATTAGGATCTTGGGGATTATATCCAAAGAATTTCCATAGGACAAGTGCAAGGACAGCAATAGCAATTAAAGCAAGTGCAACTCCCATGCTACCAATAACCCATCCATAAGGAAATTTGGTCGAATGGTGATCTGGTGTCTCTGCAGTTGTATGCCAGAGGATACTTTGTTAGATTATCATAACAAGAATACTGTTGATTGTATATAATACTTGATACCAAAACTGACATTTTTCAATGATGATACTTGGTAGAGAAATATAGGATCAAGACCATAAAAAGAGTGCTAACTGAAAGAAAATCGAAATAAAATAAGCAAAAAAAAGTGGAATATGCATATTGTAAATAACTCTGTCACTGATTATTCTCAAACAACATCCAGCCTGCCTAAAGGTTACCCAGAAAATACAGCATACTGTATTACCACAAAATCATGGAATGGCTATGTAAACCAAAATATCAACAAATGAGTTGTAAATTGTAACGACTACCTGAAAATATGTTTCAGGTCAGTATTAAATTATCACTCACAGTGACTACCTACTCAGAACATTACAAAACGAGTTACAAATAAGAACAGCAACCTGACAATGTGTAATCTGTTGGCGCTGGGGCAGGAGCAGGAGGAGCAGGTAGTGTAACATACGCCTGTCCAGGAACTGCAAATTGGTACAGGACAATGAGGATGGAGTAGTCATTAAGGAACTCTTCCAAAAACAAGTCTATTACAAACATTAGATGGAAATTTACAAGAAATTATATAAAAAAGCATTACACAAAGTAAGGTTTCCTTTTAAACATTGCAAGAAGAAAAAGAATTGTGTGGACAAGAATAGTAATAGTGGTAAAGAAAAACTAACACCACGAAGTAGGAAAAACAGATCAGAGGCTTCAGCTGACCAAGAAAGCTGACATTGGATATTATTGGGAGGCTCAGCAATCAAATGCTGGAGAACTGGGCACAGAGCAGCCAGAGTGAGAAACTTAATGTGTCACTGCCACCAAATATCTCAACTACTACATAGTATGCATGTAACTGGGTTCAATTCTTAATGAAGATTAGGTGCAGGGCATGTGTTAGTGCAATCACCCAATGTCACATATACCTCGTGCCAACCTAGAACTACATAAAAGCACACTACGAGATGCTGCTACCAGACCAGTAAGAGACTATTTTACTCCATTTAGTATGTAACCTCAAAGTAATGAAGTTAGTTATACTAGTCTCTGGTGGTAGCAATTTTCAGGAACTTGTTTAGACCCAATGATGTTCAACAAGCTGAGTTGCAGCTGATCATTGGGCAAGGAGTACCTGCCACTTCACTAAAGAACACATTTAGCGTACAATTTTGACACGATAGTTCACCGTGTCCACAGCATGGTCCTGGGACAATTGGTAATTTCCAGAGCAATCACAAGACGTAAAACGTGAACTTCGTGGTACGCCTCACAAGCCCAGACCAATAAATCCAGAGGATCCGTACTTCATAAAAGAGCAAGAGGATCCGTACTTCATAAACGAGCAATTATTTAGAGATCCATGCTTGCAATTGCAACAACCCAACAAACTTTGAGACAGAAGGAACTATCAATCTTTTCACAGCGAATTGAACAAAGAGAGAAACATTTGATTGACTTGTCCAAAATGATCGCAAACATTGGTATGACTGACCTGAGTTGAGTGGGATGTAGTACACCTTCCCCGCGGTGATGGGGTCGGGGCCGGCCATGGCATTGGCAGCCTCAATGGCATCCATGCTCGTCCCGAACCTACTCGACAGTGATTCCACCGTGTCCCCTCGACGCCGACGTAGCTGAGAAGGTAGTTCCAGGGCCCGGACGAGCAGCCGCAGAGCAGGTGGAGCGCCACAACCGCCCCGGTCGCGGCGGTCGCTGCGCCGCCCCGCCAGGCGGCGGCACGGCGAGGCCCGCGTACGCCGCGGCCGCGACATCGGCGGCGGTGGCATTGGGGGAGGAGACCGTCGCGGAGGAGGGGATGGTGTAGGTGGTGTTGGCGAGGTAGGTGCGGGACGGGAGGCAGGAGCAGTTCTTACGCACGAAGGCGTACCCCGGGCTGGCCGCGGCGTCGGCCGTGAGGTCCCCCGGCGCGGCGTCGAACATGGACTCGAGCAGCGTGGCATTGGCGGCCCCCGCGCCGGCAGCCGGGAAGGCGAGGAAGGCCGTGCAGACGCGCGAGAGCTCGGAGCAGGCGAGCGGCGCCGACGTGGCGTTCCCTCCGGCAGCGGCGGCGCCGGAGAGGCCGAGGCCGAGGGGCAGGAGGAGGTGGAGGAGGGGGAGGAGGAGGCGGTGGGGCGGCATTGGGGGCTGCCTAGGGTTCTGGCCTCGAGGCGGCGAGGTGGTGGTGGGGCATGGGCATGGAGGGTGGCAGACTGGCAGTGGGGAGTGGCGAACAGAGTCGAGCAACGCTGGATGCTTCGCGTGGTCGGCTTACGAAACGCACGCTGGGGGAACGGGACGCCGGTTTAGTAACAGAACGCGGTTTATAATTAGCGCGCACGGCCACGAGGCGAAGCGCAATCGCCGTTCGCGCGGGCGCCAGCCCACCGGGGCCCCGGGCCCGGGGGAGAGTATGGCAGTATGGCACTGTCGGATTTACCTTAATGCCCCTGTCTGTTATTTTCCCTTTTGCTTGTCCGTGGATGAACAGTTGCCTGTTTAATAAAATGCAAATATCAAACGGGAAAAGACAAATTCACTCGTGTATTTTGAGGCACTTGAATTTTAGTACTTCTAATTTATAGGTCGTTTCGATATTTTCTAGATACATAACTTACTTTTATTATGTATCTAGATAGACACACAAAAGCTAACATATATGTATTATTTTAGCACACGACGTGCGCTACAATTTATTCGGTTTGCACAGTAGTGATTACTGCACAACAAAGTATGCAACTATTGTGCAATAATCACATAATAGAGAATACTGGTAGGTGATACTTGAACAAGGCAACGATTGTCATGGTGACGGTCGACGGTAGTGAGGACTAATGAGAGTGCCACATGAAAATAAGGATTACACCGATGAGGCAAAAGAAAAATGTAATATGTGGGGCTTTTTTTGTAATCAGAGTACTACCAACACATAGAAATGCAATAATTAGGAGGTTGAGAAACATATAAAATATCGATATAGCAAATAGCAAAAAAATATTGTTAGATAAGCAAGGGTACAATATTATAGATTGATATTTGGTGTCATAAATGTTTGACTGTTTTCTCTACATTTAGTCAAGTTTAATAACAAATTTAATAACAAAACATGGTTAGGTTGTCTACCAACATGGTATGGTACGTGTGTGACTCGGCCAACACCCATTCTTGAAGGTACAAATTATATGGTACGTATATGGCTCAGCCAACACCCATTCTTGAAGGTATACAAATTATCTGGTACGTATAGCTTAGCCAATACCGATTCTTGAAAACTTAGGCCCCATCTGAATCCTTCCGATTTTGAGAATCTAGATAGTAGAAAAAAATCCCATGGTCCTAATATCTCATCCAAACGGCTTAGATTTTAGATGAATTTTAACTCACTCGGAATCTAGTAAAACTGTTGGAATTCTTTTTTATCTCGAGTCTTAGAATCCCTTCGAATTCAAACAATGCCTTACTACCTGTACAACGATGGTGCACTCTAGGTGGATGGATCGGAAAGGGAAAACACAAGGTGAATGCGTTAAGAAACCCGCGCTGTACACCTTAGACTAGTCTCAGTAAGAAGTTTTGTGGCATTGTTTCCAAAACTGTCATATCATATTAAATGAAATTAAATATGAATGAAACACTGACACTTAATAGAAAATTTCATTCTATGGTTTTTTATATATTTAATTTTATGACTCAGAGAGTTAACAATCATGCTAATAGAATTTCATCCCCCACAAAACTCATTTCTTCTCTCTTTTTAAAAACGTTGTCACGTCATCGAAAATGTTTATATGACAACTTATTAAATATAAAAAAATGAAAGTCTGATAAAACTTTCAGACGCTGAGAATGACCTTAGGGGCAATATCGGGATAATAAATCATGCGTGCGAGGATCATGGCATGCACTACAAAAACAATGAGAGCGTTGCTATAATAGATGCCCAATCCGGTACCGCACAATTAACGAGCTCCTGTCATGTGTCCTGGACAGTATTTATAGCCTTTAAAATGGTTAGCAGTCCAAAAGCATCCGATGATGCTACATCCTCAAAGTACCATGCTGTGAACCTGTGATAGATTGACACAGTCACACACTAAACATGAACTGATGGACTACAGGGAAAAGGCCATGGTTGCGCTATTGCCTCCTGCTCGCTGACAGTTTCACGGTACACCACGTCGGTAGCCATTGTCGCGTATGGCAGGATAGAAATCACGTCATTTGTTTCCTAGAATATGGTAGACATATTTTGGTCTTGTTTTTTTTAATCCATCGTAGCTAAACTTTGGCTAAAGTTTAAATGGGATAATTTGGATCCTCTACCTAGTTGAGGTTTATTTACCATGTTGTCCTTACAATTGTTTAGCATGATGTGGACATAGAAAAATAGAGGATGGTTTCATCTTTAACCATATTTTAACTAAGTTGGAACAGCTAAAGTGTGTACATTTCTGTCTTTAGGTAAAGTTTAGCTAAGTTTTAGTTGCACCTATTTGAATTCCTAGCAACTAAAGTTTAGCCGGTGGATGAAACAAGGCCTTACATCATCTAGCTCCTAAGATAAACCTCCGGCTCTAGTTCTCTGAAAAAGCAACTCCAAGAAGCTGCAGCTCTCGTGAAAAACATTTTTTTAAAACGGCTCTGTTTTCTAGATTTAATGAAAGACATCAAATGTTCCTAGCATCTTTATTTATTTAAATTTATTAAGAAAGTGTATCCTACTGTTAATCTGAAAGTATTTTTTTTTATGTATCTGATCAAACTCTGAAACAATTAACTTTTGAGAGAGGTGAGATTGTAGGATAGTTAATTCGGGCGGAGGGAGTACACCAGCAAATCTTTTTCACGGTCCAGTAGCATTAACTACGCGAGCACGGCGGGAGCAAACACCTGTTCGCTTGATCATATTAGTCATGTTTATCAATTATGATATGGTGTTTTTTTCACAATAAAACAACATCTGTCGATTTATAAATCACATAAACGATAAAGCGAACAGGTGAAAGACTTTATAAACAGCTAGGGCCCGGGCCGGGTGCGGCCGAAAGGCCCCGCACTTGGGGTGGCCCGTGGCCGACAACGACCGGGCTGGCTCCAATGCTCCACTACACGGCAGAGACGACGAGGTGGAGCCGCAGCCGCCTGCTGCCACGCCACTCCCGCCCCCGCTGCTGGCAATCGCTACAGGCCAGGCCCAAAAGCTGGGGCCTTAGATTGCAAGTTTTTTCACTCTCTTCATCGCATCAAATCTTTAAACACATGCATGGAGTATTAAATATAGATAAAAAAAATTAACTAATTACACAGTTTGATTGTAAATTACGAGACGAATCTTTTAAGCCTAATTAAATCATAATTGAACAATAATTATCAAATACAAACGAAAATGCTACAGTATCACATGCTTATTCCTAACTCCGATCTAACGAGGCCGGGATATTTCGGGGGAGGGGGATTTTCTGTGCGGTCCGTACGCGCGCGGCCACATATTTTCGCTCGATCGGATGAGTGAGATCTGCTTGCTATAGCTCTGTTGAGCTTAATAACTGTCTCCCAGCAGCAGCTAAAAGCAGCCCGCAGCTCGCGTGCGTGCGCTGCTGGCGCGGGCACCAGCTTTGGGCCTTTGCTCGGCGATCGAGTAGCCAGCCACCTACTGGCGTGTACTTGCTGTCCGAATATTTCCACGGATTAGGTGGATTATACCTACCGTAGTACCCAAATGGTAGGTGCCTATACAGGCGGCAGGCGGCACTGATAGCGGATGTGGATCATGTAGCAGCTTTGATTTGCCACAAGGATTGAGATTCGGCTTACCACCTATACTTTTTCTCGCAACAAATTAAGCGAACAATATTTTTCAACCTGTCTTTTTTGCAAATTGAACAGGGCCATAACAGCGTGTCCAAGTGAGGGGTACGTACACGTACTACGTCGTCAGAGCCAGTGTTGGGCACTCCAAAGTTCAGTAGCTTCGTTCGTTAGCACGAATATGACTGGATTACAACTTGTGGCGCACTGATGGAAAGTAGGGGAGTATGGAGGAACCCTGACTAATCAGCTACAACCCGGCGCCGAAGATTGGACAGTATCGGTAGGTTTAACACAGAGGTGACAAATAAACCTGTTGGAAATTGACGACAAACGATGAAACCAACAGCAACTTCCTAGTTTCCTACTGGCATTGCTTCGCATGGCCCCGGCCCCCGGCCCGGGGCAGGGCAGATGCCAGATGCCACATGCTCCTAGCCGCCATTTTTTGCGGCGCCAGCACGTCGTCGTCCCCAGCCTGCTAGCTTCGTCGTCACCACTGACCAATCAGGCAGTCACCACGTACACCATGTGGGCTGTGGGCTGTGGCCGCCTGCCTCACCCGGTGGGCTATGGCCGCCATCCTTTCACTCTAAGTTCAATTTAAAAAGGCCCGCGATAGCTAGCTTTGCCTGCTTCCTTGTCCGTGGCTGCGGCGGCCTAGCTGCCGAGAGTGCCGACTTCGTTCCTGGATCACCGGATGATGACTGCACACCGCGCGGGCACTCGCCCGCTTCCCTGGCGCGGACCACGCCAACAGCCAGCGTACGCGAGCCACGCTTGCACGGGCGGGGTGATGCCCGCCGCTACGCCCACGCACGCACTCGTTTCTATTCTAATCGGGCGCCCGAAACTGAAGGACGACGCACGACGGTATAGCGCGCACAGCTGCGCAACGCGAGGACGGCCGTAGCTGTTAATTCCGGCCGACTGTGCACCGTGCATGTACGTCCGTCCCTATAGCTAGCGCCTAGCAGCCGGGAAGCACCGAAGACCGCGAAATACCACGGCATAGGAAAACTGTCAATAACGGAGTTATGAAAATAAAGGAATTTTGGTATTTGAAGTACCTCTCAGAATATTTTTTATGTGGTAGTACTTTAAAAGAGGTGGTCATCCTTAATAACAAGAATAATTTAGCTAAGGAAAATTAGAACGATAGTAACATGTGCTGCTTTTGTAGCAAGTCAGTGAGTATATCCAATATCATTTTTTAAGTGCCATTATGCACGTGTTCCTTTGTTTTAGGCATTCAACCTTCTTATAGTACAAATCATTTGTTTAACTTTTGGTCTAAGAACATCTCCAAAAGACTTTCTATATCTCACTCTCTA